GAGGAAGTGGGCGTGTGCACCCTCAGGCACTGGGTGGTGAGAGGCACTGCACTTCGAGGGCTGAGGCAAGAAACAGCTGATGGGGGACACTACGTATGGGTGTGGCCCGTCACCCGGGTATGCTGGGGGCACTGAGTGCATGAAGCAGAGAGGGAAGGAGGGGAGAGAGGTTAATGGTTAAGGCCTTGGACTCTGGCGCCAGACTGCGTGCATTCAGATCCCAGCCCTGTCGCTTGCCAGGGTTAGCCTCCTCTTGCCTCAGTTTCCCCATTCTTTCAATAATGGAAGACTGATACAAAGTACCCTCATGTATAGCTTAAATTAAAAAAAAAATTCTGACAAATACAAAGTGCAGGACACTTTCCAGCTACCTTTAGAAAGGGATTTGGCAGTTTCTTACAAAGCTGAACATACCATACCACCCAACAATCCCACTCCCAGATCTTTATCTAAATGAAGTAAAAAACTTAGGTTCATACAAAAACCTTTATGTGAATGTTTATAGCAGCTTCATACCTTTCCCAAACCAGAAACAATCCAAATATCTTCCAACCTGAGAACTGATACCCTCGGAGCACCACTCAGCAGTAAACATAAACAACACAGGTGAGTTGCAGGCATGTTATGCTAATTGGAAGAAGCCACGCATTGTGTGATTCCATGTACATGACATTCTGGAGAGTACAGGGTCAGAAAACGGGTCTGTGGTTGCTGGGATAGGGGGAGAAATTACTACAAAGGGGCATGCATGAGGCCATTTGGAGGAGTGATAGAGCTATGAGGTATCCTGATTGTGGTGGTGGATACATGACTGTATGTGTATGTCTGTCAAAAATCATGGAACCGTACAGTAAGAAGGTGAACCTCACTCTGTAGATTATGCCAGGAACAGGGAATAGCATGTGAACGTCACAGAGGCTTGAGTTTTGAGCCTCTGTGCCTGTGAGTGAAGCAAGACAGAAAGCCCTGGGCCCATTTTATGGGTAAGCAAGGAAAGAGAAAGAAACAAACATTTCTTTAATACCTATCACTTGCCGGGGATGCACAGGTTTGAGATGCTGTCTTGGAAGAAGGGGCAGGAAGGGAGGCAGGGAAAACATATTTGGGTCAGCTTGTGAAGAACCTTGAATGCTGTGTCAGCTGCTTCAGATGGTGGGACAGTGTTGAAAGTTTTTAAGCAGTTGAGGAATATAAGCAGCTTTTTGTTTTAGAAAGATTTCTCTGTTCTCTGTTTAGAATAAGGAGCCATTGGGCGTATGCGTCCAATTCTGCCTTCAGAATTGTTTTCAACTGCCTTGTAGTTTTTTTTTTTTTTAATTTGAATTTGTGACTGAGCATGGTGGCTCACACCTGTAATCCCAGCCCTTTGGGAGGCTTAAGTGGGAGGATGGCTTGAGCCCAGGAGTTCGAGACCAGCCTGGGCAACATAGTAAGACCGCTCTTAAACAACAGTAGCAACAACCAGGTGTGATGATCTTTACCTGTAGTTCCAGTTACTTGGGAAATGGAGGCAGAAAGATTGCCTGAACCCAGGAGATGCCACTGCACTATAGCATGGATGACAGAGTGAGACCCTCAACACACACATACACACATACACACATACACACATACACACATACACACAAAGGATTTGAATTTGTGATCCACATTTAAAAATTGGGAGACTTTACACAGAACTTTGGATGTCCGGCTTCTCTTTAGATGAGACACGAGCTCTCCAGTTTTCTAAGGCCCCACCCCCATTCCCTTATACTGTAGTCCCTTCCTGGCCCTGCAGGTGTATCAGTTTTTGTCCCCAGGGTTCGAAAGTTGATGCCAGGAGGAAGACATCAAGGGCAGCGACCTTTCTCAGTCCTGGCTTGAGCATTATTCTTGCTTGGGGAGCTTTATAAAATACCGATACCCAGTCCAAGGTGCTGGGAGCAGCCTGGGCATCCGTGTTTCCTAAACGGCCCCTGCTGATTCCAGTGGGCAGCCAGAGTCGAACCACTGGCATTGGGGAAGGTGAGGGCGACTGGGGGTCAGCAGCGTGGCAGGGGAGGTGTTAGAGATAATGGGACATAGGGCTGAGGCAGGGGAGGGCTTGGGTGTGACGCTCAGGGTCCCGGTTTGGACAACTATGATGTGGCAATGCCATCTGCTGAGCAGGGACACGAGAGGGAGAGGTGGTCGGGGGAAGGTGGTGAACTCGGTGTTGGCCATGATGTGTCTGAGGAGCCTGTGGCCTCCAGGCTGAGGGGTCCAGCGTGCAGGTGTCCGGTGCTGCTGTGCTCACAGCTTTCACTTCTTGTGCTCTTCTTTCTTCTCCGAGATAGGAAAGCAAAGGAAGGTGTCAAGGGGAAGGAGGGGCCGTGATGGAGGGAGAGCTGGCAGCCAGGCTTCCCTCAGAGCTGTGCCTGCAGAAGTCAGGGCTCCCTTGGTGCTGTGGACTGGATGCTTGTGTCCCCATAAAATGCATGTGCTGAGACCTATTCCCCTGATGTGATGGTATTAGGAGGTGAGGCCTTCCGGAGGTGATGAAGGTATGGGGGCGGAGCCCTCATGAATGGCATTCGTGCCCTCATAAAAGAGGCCCCAGAGAGCTCTCTCACCCCTTCTACCATGTGCGGGCACAGTGTGAAGATGGCTGTCTAGGAGAAAGTGGACCCTTGTCAGACACCTCCTTCGCCTTGATCTTGGACTTCCGCCTCCAGACCTGTGAGCAATGGCCTTGTTTGTAAGCCACCCAAAGGATGAAGACTCTTGGGTCAGGGAAGGAGGCCTTTCTCTCATCTGCCCTGGGTCGTGGGTGCTCAGGCTCTGTTGAGCAACTTTGAAGGAAAATGGGGAGAATGTACTCAAATAGTGTGCTCATATTGAGAAGGAGAGGCTTACCAAACTAGATATGTGGTTTCCCACACACAGCCACTCCTTCCTCAAGCCAACAAAAACCCTCTGCCAAAACATCTTGCCTACAAGCAGATGCCAGAGCCCTGCCTTTTTTGTTGTTGTTTGGTTTTTTGGTTTTTGTTTGGTCAATACCTTTCTCCATATTAGTAGTAACTACTGTTTCTGTGACTTGACAGAAATCCCCGTGCCCATTCTACAGATAAGCAAGGGAAGGTAACAAACCTTTCTTTAATACCTTTTACTTGCCAGGGGACTAACACATTTTCATGTATTCCACACAGCCATTCTGTGTGTGAAATATGGGTTACTATACCCATTTTTCAGACAAGGATATCGAGGCTCTGAATGTTTAAGTACTTTGCCCCAGATGGCCAGTTTAGCAGCAGCAGAGTGGGTAGCCGAGAACTACTCCCTCCAGGGTTCTCTAATGTGTTTGTGGCCCACCTTTGCTGTAGCCTCGCTGGGAACACACACACAGACTCGCACACATATGGCCTCTCCAGACACGGTTTATTGTCTTTGGGGCCCCCTCAGTTTTCCTTCTGGGACCTAGTGGATGTCTTCATGACGATTGCTGGCCTCTTTCCCTTTGTGGGACATACTCACTCCTCCAGGCCTGTGAGGTCGGCCCGGGGAGGGGCTCCGTTGTCCTGAGAAGGGGAGGGGCAGGGACTTCAGTCCTTCCATCCACCTAGGGATGCTCACGGAATGGTCCAGAGCTTCCCAGCTGGGTTGGGCTCCATTGCATAGAGTGGTTATCACGGCATTGTCCTGCCATCAGAGGCACTGTCTCAGCATCTGGACACAAGATGGTCCCTGGCCTCCCTTCTTGCCTCTTTGCCTCTGATGCACATTGAGGCATGAACGAGAAGCCTTTGTTCTTGGGAAGATTCTGGGCTGATGCTGCCCAGAAACAGTGATCAAAGGGAAGCGTAGAGAGCTCCTGGGGTGGGTCTCTTTGGCACAGCCTAAGTATCCTCTCTAGATGCTGTTCCCTGTGAGTTGGTGGCATTCCTGATGGTCCTTCCCCGATCATAGCCATTGTGGACAGTGCTCCTAGGGGAGGTACTCCCAGTGCCCTGTGACCACCTTGCTGGTGTTCCCGTGGGCAGTGCCCGATCGTGGTCAGTGTGTGGGACAGAGCTTGGCAGGGACTGAGCTCTCTGTGGACGTAGCTCCCCACGCACGCTGCTAACTACAGATACTTCTCAACACAGGCAATCCCAACCTCTAGGTGCTTGTTTCTTCTGAGCTCATCATGGTTGGTGTTGGCTGTGGATGGTGTTTGTCACTTAGGAGGGCTTCAACACAGAAGGTTCTAACTTGTGATGGACTTAACATAGCTGGCACTTGCCACTGAGAGCAGCTGTCACAACTGATGAGTTCTGGTGAGATCTTGTTATGGACGGCTCGTCACTGAGGTCCACTGTCCTGATGCCATCCCATTGGCAGTCCCAGCATTGATGGATTTGGATTCTACGGCTCTTCTTACCAATGATGGTTCTCAGGATAGACAGTCCTGTCACTGCTGATTCTCGGTGGAGGTGGTGCTCAGCATTGGTAGTTCTTGCTACATGTGACCTGTCTGCTGATGGTTGTTGCTACAGATGGGACCCTCCGTCGACGGTTGACACAGTCAGTGTGCCCCTTTAAAAGGACTTTCCTGCTTGTTTGGCAATAACCACGTGGCACGGTTTGGTTTGTTGGGTCCCCGTCCTGCAGCTTCCTGAGGGGACCTGGCTGCCAGCAAGTCAGCTCACAGAGGGCCCATGATTCTGGGCAGGCTGCTGGCCCTTGGGCGCCTGGTCACTGCTTGTGTTGGAGCCCTCTGCCTTGTCCTCCTGGAGGCTAGTGCTGCTGTCGGGCCCAACGTTTGCGCTGCCACCCAGCCCGATACTCTGGCTACTGCTGGCCCAGGTGGAGGGAAGGCTGCCTGAGGAGGTGAGCAGTCCGCTGCTCACCTGGAAGGTCAGGGCGCTGCTGCCCAAGCTGACGAAGCTGAGGCTGGCTAGGCTGTTGCTGCCGCTGCCAGGTAGGCTGGCCTCAGTATTCAACTCCCGTCTGCTGGTTGCCGGGCACCTGGCCGGCCAGCCGGCTCTGCAGCTGGGCTAGTGAGTGGGGCCCTCCGAGCTGGTCTGGGTGCTCACTGCCCGGATCGGGAGCCTCCTCCTATTGACCCGCACGACCCGACGGCCGCCGGGCACGCTGACCTGGCTGCTCTCCTCGTCCCCGGAGTACCCGCTGCTCAGCAGGCTGGCGTGGCTGCATTCCTCCCGCTCACTTGACACATGGCTCTCGCGGCTTGGGGTGTCTCCTAGGTCATTACAGGAAAGCTTCAGCGGCTCCTGGGAGGTGCCTGCATGGTGTGTCTGTGCGTGGGATGGGCGCTGTAAGCTGGGTGACTCTAGGCTTGGCTCTTGTCCCTGGGCACTCCAGGCAGAGGTCTCCCCCTTTTCTTTCTCAAGGAAGACGGGGGGCAGCTGAATTGATTTATCCAGGGGGAGGGGGCCCCGGGAGGCCTCTGAATGTCGGTTGGGGCCTGTCTGGGGAGAGGGGGCTCAACGGATAAGGCTGACCTTTGAAAACTCTGTGTTCTGATTGGCTGGTGCCGTTCCCATGGTGATGGGACCTATGAGGTGGGGGTGAGGTGGTGTGGGGGCGGGAGGGAGAACAATGCTCTCCGTGGCATGACATTCAGGGGTCTGGCGTGCAGGGAAGGGGTCGGGCAGAGAGGTGCGGCTCATAGCCAGAGGAGGTGAGAATCACCTTCCTGGGAGCCTTTCTGGGGGGCCTGTGGCCTCTGGTTTGCCACCCACCAGGTGGGGGGAACCTGGGTGCTCATCCTGGCTGAGCCCCTCATGAGCTGCGTTTCTTCACTCTGGGGCTTCTGTGGATTCTTGCTGAGACGGTTGTGAGGACGGGGGAGAATAGCCCCCTCAGGAGTTTCACCTGGATTCCTTGCCAGGTCTCCAAGGTCCCGCCTGGTCTGCTGTCCTAGGCTCACACCCACCACACCCTGCCTCTTCCTCACCTGGGATGCCCAGTCCCGCTGGCCACTCCTTAGTGTTGCCGAGCGAAAGGTGCTCCCAAACGCCCTGGAAGCCAGCGCCATGACCCTGGGCTTTGAATAAAGAAGAGCTTTTTATTGCACGTCAACTCACACGGAGACTGGGGTCCAGTGAAACCTATCTCCCTGTGCTGGCGCTAAGGCAGTCATTTTATTAGAAAAGGATTAGGGGGTGGGTTCTGGGATTAGCCGTGATTGGTGGAAGGAAAAGGGCCAGCGGGGAAAGCCCTTGGGCATGTGCAGTTCTCACCTCGTGCCTCGGGGCGGTTCCCACGTGCAAGTTCAAGGGGAAGTGTCACCCTTGAACGGGTGAAGAGGTATACTGCAGGTGGAAACACCGTGTGCCACTTACTAGCAGACACTTAACAGGTGTTTGTTGAGTGACGGAATGAATTAGATATTCACTGACCCTTTAAGGGTTCATGGGGTTTTAGTGCGAAACAAGTGGTGGGAATTCAGGCTGAGACGTCAGCAAGATCCTTCTGCGCAAGCTCCCGTTGACCATTTTGGTTTCAATCGATGTCAAGCAATGTTGTTATCTTACGAGCAAAGTTTCAGCGTTTTAGCAAGGTGTTTCTTCTCTTACCGGCCATCCTGCAAACTCAGGAATTTCTGTTAGTTATTGATTTCTTTAACTCTCTGGAGCACGGTTTCATTGTTTCAAGCTCTTACCTGCTACAGGGCCTTTGCAGCGGCTGTTCTCACCAAGTGGGATGCTCTTCCCTTGGGCTGTCCCCTTCCTCAGCCTTCAGGCTTCAGCTTAAGTATCCCTTCCCCAGGGACACTTAACCTCCCCCAACCTCCCCAAGAAGGCCGGTAAGTTTCTGCGTTTTGGAGAGATGAGGTTATACTATCTTGCCCAGGCTGGTCTCGAAATCTGGGCTCAAGCATTCCTCCTGTCTTGGCCTCCCAAAATGGTGCCATGCCCAGCTTCCCTCTAGTATTTTTTATGTCACTTCCTAATTTATGCCCCTTGGGACATTAACGAATTATGTATTGGTTATTTATTGCTGGTTCCCTCAGCTGGAATGTAAACTTGGTGAGGGCAGAGATTTGTATCTCTTATTCTGTGCTTTGCCCTCAAGGTCCAGCACAGTGCCTGACACCTAGTAGATGTTCATTAGACATTGAATGAGTGAGTGAATGAACCACCCTGGGGTGTGTATCACACCATCTAGAGAACTTAAACACATGTCTGGATTTTCTTTTTTTTTTCTCTTTTAGTTTTTTTTATTTTAGAGATGTGGGGTACAGTTCAGGGCTAGGTATACTTATGTTCATTATGCAGGTACCCTTGTTGATGAGGTATGCGCCCCCAGCAGATTCCCACTACTTCCAATCCCATCCCCCCTGGCAGTTTCCCACTACTGCCAATCCTTTTTTTTTTATAGTATTACAATAATTGTTCAAGTTCCGCTTATGAGTGAGAACATGTGATACTCAGTTCTTTGTTTCTGTGATACCTCACTCAGTATTATAGACTCTAACTCCCTCCAGGTTTCTGTGAAGTTCATGATTTTGTCCTTCTTTATGGCTGTGTAATATTCCATCATGTGTATGTACCACATTTTTTTTTATCCAGTCCTCTTTTGATGGGCAGCATGGTTGGTTCCATATTCTTGCTACTGTGATGTCTGAATTTTCTAGGACAGTGGCTTTTGCCCTTGGCTGCCCATTGGAATCACCGGGAAATGCCTGGGTCCCACCCGCAGAAGTTCTGAGTTAATTTGTCTTGGGTGAGATTTTGGCCACAGTATGTTAAAGAGCTTTCCAGGAGATTCCAGCGTGGAGCCAGCCAGGAACACAGCTCAGCCACAGCTGCTTTTTGGTAGGTGATTCTGATGTGCTACTCTGCTGAAGAAGTACATTACAGATGAAACACCAGGGGTCTCATATCAGTAGACACTTAATAGGTGTTTACTGAGTGACAGAATGAATTAAGGTATTCATTGGCCCCTTAAGAATTCATGGGTGGGTTTTAAGAACTTTGATAATTCGTGGAAATTGTACACAAAATTTGTGATGGGGTACATATATGCTTTCTTTTTCCTAAGGGAAGAGTCATAACTTTCATCAGATTCTCAAGGGTGTTCGTGATCCCCAGAAGATCAAGAAGCATAAAGATTCAATGCAATTCTTGCCTTCGCGTTTGGGAGGCAATGGTCCTGGTGCTTAGCTGACCCTAATGGGAGAAGGCTGGCTTGCTCCGTTTGGGTTGCAGGGTGGGAAGAGAGAAAGCTCTCAGCAACTTGACAGGCTGTGACAGTCATCAGCACCAACATGGCTAATTATCACTGTCATCTTTACTATAAATTCCTTTCCCATCACCTGGGGCCATTCAGCTTTCCTTTGCTGTACACCAAGGCATCTCTTTTGCTCTGGACATTCTGATCCTTCTGGGGTGGGGAGGGGCATCTTGTGGTTGTCCGACCTGCCGACAGCCCTATGCTCTCACTAGGACTGGCAGAGAAGAGGCAGACATGGTGGCCCCGTGGTGATGTTCAGAGCAAGGGAGTGGAGGGACCCAACTGTTGTGAGAAGCAGCGACAAGGTCTAGCCCTTTAGGAAACTGGCATGAGAGTGGCAGGGTGTCAGGCACCAGGTGGTAGGCTGGGCCTCAGGGCTGGCTCTGTTCCTGCGTGAATACACAGAAGGGCAGGAGCCCCAGTGCTGGGGGTTGATGGTGATCCTGTAGGGAGGCAGGCTCCCTTCCCTCCCCCACTCCACCTGCGCAGGGCACACTGCGTTATGAGCCAGAGGACCGGAGCAAGCACCTGGGCTTGTTCAGTAAATGACCAGCACCATGCAGTAATCAGAACCTCCTTCACGTGTGGCACATGAGACATCAGATCTGTAGCCTGTGGGTACAGTGAGGCCACGTGAACAGCCACCCTCAGCTTAGCACCCACCTCCTGGTTACTCTGGGAGTCTCGGGGAAGGCATTTCACAGACGGAGCATCTGTTCTTTATTTTCAGCCTTCTCATTCCTGCCTCACCTGAGAAGCCACCCGAAGGCGGTGTGCCCTTACCTGGTTCCTGCCCAGCCCCTGCTGCGCATAAGACCAGAACCACCCCACTAAGACCTGCTTCCGGCATCTTCCAGAGATGCAGAACCTCAGGGCTTAGACAGAACCGCGCCTCTCTGAGCTTGCAGTCCCAGACCACAGAGCAGTCTGGGGAGAAGCGGGTGGAAGGTGTTTTCTCCACCGGGCTTGCAGCTCATTCTGGGGATCAAGTGCCAGGCTGCCTTTCCGGTTTCCACTCCATTGTTGTTTGTCCCCGAGAAGCCCCCTCTCACCCAAACATATATTCCAGCCTCTGCCTCCAGCCTCCCTTTCTCTCACGTGTGTCAATTTCTTCACACAGGTGACAGGCATCCACAGGACCCGCAGCCTGGAAGATACAGCCTGACTCAGAGTCTCAGGCAGGGCTCAGATAGGAAACCTGGTTATAATCACATTGTCTGTGGATCCTGGTGCCAAGTGCCTGCCCTTCCCTGGTGTGACAGAGACAATGTTCTGTGCTCACCAGACCATCTCATTTCTCTCCTGGGCCCTAGGAGAAGTACATTTTCAACCCACTTGTATCCAGGTAGGGCTTATGGAAGGTGGGTGGAAGGGTTGTTCATCACTCAGGTCTGGATCATAAAATATCTCCTGTGCATGGACCTTCTTCTTCCCTTTCTGCAGGGACCTTGAAAGCCATGCTTTGAAGGCGACAGAGCTCCCCCGCCAGCGCCCCTCCATGGTTGGAGCCTGGATCCTTGAATGACTGTGTGGAGGAGAACTCCCACCCTCTACACAATGCATCCATGATATCAGGGAGCAATCAAATATTACTGGACAAGTTTGGAGGGTTATTTTTTACCATAGCAACATCAGCTTTACATGGACTAATACAGCCTATATTCAGACACTGCCGATGTGGTCCACAGGATCTGGCTTTATCCTGAAGGTTTCTGCAGTGGGTTCTGGAACTGAACTGTGTTCTTGCTCCAGCACCTATCCTAAGAATCTCAACATCAAAATCCTCTTATGGGAAAGTGAGGTTTTCTCATAATATGAGGATGGAAAAGAATATTACTAAAGAGATCTTCACCAGCCCAGAAAGCTGGTCACCAGCCCCAGGCCTGCAACCCTAATGTTTATTCCAGCAGAAAACCCTTGCTACGGTAGACATCAATTCTCTGAGTGTGATTTACCATAATTTTTTTTTTTTTTTGGCAGAATCATATTACCCAGGCTGAAGTGCAGTGGCATGACTGTAGCCCACTGTAGTCTTGAACTTCTGGGCTCAAGTGATCCTCCTGCCTCAGCCTTTTGAGTAGCTGGAACTACAGGTGTGCACCACCACGCCCAGCTAATTTTTTTATTAAAAAAATTTTTTTTTGTAGAGATGGGGTCTTACTATGCTGCCCAGGCTGGTCCTGAACTCTTGACCTCAACGATGCTCCCACCTCGGTCTCCCAAGGTGATGGAATTACAGAGGTGAGCTGTCATGCGTGACCTCATAATTACTTTTAACTCATGCATTTTGCTTGTTTTTATTCATTCATTGAACAGTTATTTCTTGAACTAATATTCCTTATTTCCTTCTACCAATGTATAGTGAGTTCCTGCTGTATGTT